GAACTCAAGATTTTTTTCTCCTCTGATTCGCACGCATGCATCTCTCAATCTCTCACCTCAACTGCAATTTGAATGTGATGCTTCTCCATACGGTTTGCGCGTGCACGTTCCTAACTGCAAGGTTGACGAGAAGATGGAGCCTATGAATGTGTATCTGAAGACATTTCGACTCTCGAATTCTCTTGCTCAAGCTCCATTCCCTTGTTACTAAACGATGAAGGCGGTTGGGCTAGGTAGCGGGGAGAATCTACGTGTTCAGCCGAGAGATGCGCCCAGCTCAGGGTGCGTAATCTACTCTCTAACTGCAAAACGAACAATTTCGAATCTGAAGCCCTAGGCTGCCTTTCACTCCCAGCTCGACCTATATACAAACCATCTCACTTTCGACCAGTCTTTCCACCTCATTTTTTACCTCTGACGGGCAGACTCAAACGACGTTGGTACCTGTTACAACGTTCGTTTTCGAGAGCCTCGTCCCGTACATTCCTTCCCAAAGCGCACAAGACGCGGTGTTCCCGTCTCAAAGCACGATTTACAACACTCACAAGTCAGTTGACTCTCCGGCTCTGAACTTATCCTAATTCTGTTCACAGGTCTTCAATCCCAATCATACCTATTGTCGCGGTGGCGGGTGGCGGTCTGACCGCGATCATCGCAGGGGTTGCGCTCTGCCTTATCTTTCGCCGGCGCCGTCGAAAAGCATCTCTTCGTTGGCGCACGGTGATACAAGCCCATGGCCCGCCAGACCTCGATCTAGAGCTACCTCGGGATGAAAATCGCGTGGATAGCCGCACATTCAGCCGGCTCACCTATTCGGCGCCGTATGTCGTCCCTCAATCGTCTGTTGGGCTTGCCTCGATTGCTGCACCCAGTACGGTTTCCATTGGACAACAGTATCAGACTGTTCGCGTTCCGAGAAGATGATTTCTAGGCTGTCCGTGGGTACCAAAGCTCTGATGGTGCCGATCAGTCCTGTACTTATATGTTCTGACAATCTTACTTATCTGTTGGTGTTGCGTTCATCATGCCTCCTCTCCTAGATATGAGCTCTTCGTTCTCAAGCTTAGACCGAGTTGCAAACTCACGGCGCTGGCGAAGATGATCGGGTGGCCGCCTTGGGCTGATGAGATATCAACCTACACGGCCTTACGCCAGCTATATTCGCCTTGCGGTGCTGAAGATCTTCCCTACTCATCGAAGTTGCAAAGATCAGGACTACATGTATGCGTACATGCATGGGAGATGGATCGTCGTGCACAAAGTACATATGCAAGTACCTCTCCTCGGCGATGCACCTCCAAGATACTTCACTTTAAAGCGCCGTTCTTTTCGATTACGAGCTCTTGAGCTTATTCATTCCTTTGTCTCCACCGCTTTGTCTAGGTCCCCCGCCCTTGCTTCAATAATCTATAATTAGCCCGCAATCATGGCAGCAAGGTGATTCTCAAATTATCGCTCTGACGGATACCTTGACCAGGAAAACTCAGCAGGGATTCAGCAATTCTACGCATCCTCCTCCTTGTGGCGACCTTCACATTCGCACCTCGACCCGTTGCAAGTCTGTCCTGGATCGCCGACCTACAACCTACTAGCGATACAGATGCAGCAATCGAGCTTCCCGAGTCCTTTCATGTTGTCTCGAGCGCGAGCGGGAGTCTGTCGCCGCCGACAGTGCTCTACCCGGTACCCTCGGGTGTCACGTTTGGCAGCGGAAGCGTTGGGACGATATTCAAAACAGCTGTCAGCGGAGGCGGGAATATTGGAGGAGGCGGAGGCAGCGATAGTGGGGAAACAACTAGCTTTGTCACCATCACGGACACTGCGACTGCAATTGAGACTTCGGCCGTGGTCTCGTTGAGCGCTGAGCTTATCTTGACGGGTACGCAAGTATTCAGTGCGGGGGTGGTGATTGGGAGCGGTATCGGAGATGGTTTTTCCGGAGACCCAAGTGCTTCCGCTGCATCGTCCCTATTCCTCGATCAATCCGCTTCAAGCGTCCCATTCGACGACAGGTTGGTTTGTTTGCTTCGGTTCATGCAAACACTCATCTTTTCATAGCCAATCACCAAGCACCACTGAAAGCGACGCAGGGTTCCCTACGACCACATTCCCGTAGCGTTCCTCGTCCAGTCTTCTTTCCTCCGCACTAACATTCCTCACCGTAGAAACGCTATTCAAATCACCCCCACTCTGTCCCCCAGCACAACCATCTTCACTATCGCAACATCATACTCGCTTCTCACGACCGCAGGCCATGTAACCTCGACGTCGATAGCCGTATTGAGCACCTCCGTGATGATGGGCCCCGTCACTCCAACTCAGACGTCTAATGCGAAGTACGCCTGCTCTCAAAATCAAACAAATACGCCTGGCATTGACCCAGATTCGCAGTAAACACTCGTTGAGCACGAGCATGAGCGTGGGCATCGCGGTTGCCGGTGTGGCGGTCTTTCTAGCTGGGGTGTTGGTTTATATCGTACGATGGAGGAGGAGGTTGAGGCGGAGGGCATTTTTGAGGATTGGGGAGGACTTCTGAGTCGGTTGCAGACATGATGCGAAGATTGGACGAATGTAAGATACGTAGGACGAACAATTCGTGTATTTATGGTGGAAATGCTGTGGCGAATTTTGGATGTAAAATAGGATTCGCTCGAACATAAATATACAGTATAAAATCGGTTCCAGGGACTGCAGAGCCTCCTTCCTGATACGTTTGTTTGCACTGAAGTCTAAACGGGAGGGCCAAATCCGCAGAGTGCAGGCAGCAGCACATAAATTCGCTACTCAACGGCGAATCAGCGTTCGACTCGCTGTTCGAGGTGTAGATTCGCTAGGACCTCGGCATATGCGCCAATACGTCCGATCCTGATGCGCACGGATTTGGGCCTAAAATATCCGATAAAAATGCGTACGATTTGACCCGCAGTCAATAGTGTGGTCGGATCCTGCGGGCGTACGGAACGGCTCGACCGGCACCTATGTCCCATCATGATGCGTAAAATTCGGGCCGTTTCGGATCGGACATATCCGCATATGCCGAGGTCCTGATTCGCTCAGATCCGGTGTGTCACACCAGTCACACTCAAGTGCTCTCTTTCGACTCAACCACCACCTCCTCCCTCATTCAGGTCACCGCCATGCTAACCGTCAGTACAATGGGTAACGCTCACAGCGACTTTGTTCGAGACACCGTTTTGGCCGCCATGCGGAACGACAACTGGAAACCGTTACTTGCTTCCGTTCGGGACACCTGGCCATCTATGGTGTCACCATCGACCGCGATCAGAGACAGCTTGCACTGGTCCGGCTTTCGGTCATTGGAATTTGTTCTTTTGCAACTCTTCAGCGAACGCCCCAGTGGTCTGTTGCCCAAAAACTACGAGGTGAATATCAAATCCTTAACTCGTCTCACGAGTCTTGCTCAATACGTTCGCAAGACGGTCAAAGAATGTCTCATGAACAAGCACGTCCTAACCGAATTCGTGAAGAAGCTCAAGCTTCCAAACGGAGAGCCAATTGTCCCCGAGGGCTCGAGTGCCAAGGACGCGTTCCTCATTTTCGTCGGTGGGTTGCGAAGAGACTGCGGGGATTTGGAGAAAACTCTGGCGTGGTTGCGGAACGTCTTCACGCCCCTCATGCACATTGCAGAAAATGCATACGACTCGTTGTGCGTGTCTTATCATTTCGAAGAAATTGACCCTCACAGTGGTGGATCAGCGAAGCCGGGTCGATGGCGAAAGCTGCAAAAAGAGCTCGAATTGAGAATACGGACTCTGAGGAGGCAAAATGTCCCCGCAAATGCGCTCGTGGTTTGCTTCTTCCTTCCATGCTTCTTCCAACATTGATTCTTTGAAGAAAATGACATACTGGAGCGACTTCGGATGCTCCGATCCGCGCGAGAATTTGGCACGGACACACAACCAGAATTCCCTCTTTCGAGTCAACAACTCCTTGCTCAGTCAAGTCACGACGGCGCGTCGAGCTCCCGAATCTCATCGAGCTGTATGGACAGTTCGCTCTTAGAGCCGCTTGCCTCTATGGTAAGTCACGCTACGCTGTCTTGACGCCATCCAAAATCTGATCATGGGTCAGCCTCAGCAGCGTCCCGCTTTTCGCCCACGTGAGGATCGGGACTCCCTCGCCCCTTCTCGGAGACCACTGGCACCCAGAAACCATGAAGGTTAGCATTTGCTTAGTATACTCGACTGCGCACTCAACCACAGCATAAGCTTCCGGTCGCCCTGCCACCTCTTCTCTGGCCTGCTGTCCGCTGGTATCGGCGAACTTCCCCACTGGATGGCGAACGGCTCAAAGTGCTTCTGCGATATCTGCTTGTGGTCTTGGAACTTCAAGTCTTACCTCCCGTCCTCGACTTCAAGACAAGGAAAACGTTCATGCTCATTGCGGTTGATATCTCGCCTGTCGTTTCTTCCGCGTCTGTCTCCTTCCACGTCGGACGTCTTTTCGCAAAACATCACCTGCATCTGAATTCCTCAACGCTCCTTTCAATATTATTCAGCACAAACTATCCTACCCCGGCAAGGCGCCTTTTTCTCAAGCATCGGACATAGCATTTGTACCATTTTCTCGATACATTGTATCCCTACATTCCTACCTAGTCTACTCTGTCACACTTAGATTCTATGTAAGTTACATGCGCCGAATGATCATTTGTAGCCGTGTCTCGACTCGATTTGAGCGCATGGACCTAGTCCACTGGATGTCAAACTTGCTGAAACAGTTACCAGTGGAATTCAAGAGACAAAAGATGTCTGTAAAAAGGTAGGGTGCATTGTTTGTAATCGTTGAAAAGAGTCAAGGTGAGAGTTGATATGTCAACCTCCACTCGCAGAAGCAAGAAAAAGAATCGCAAAAAAATAAAGAACCCCGAAGGGAAAGCCTGTGGGGCGAAGCAACGGCCGAACGATGAAGCCCGCTCGTTCCCCGTAGGCATGGAGAAAGTCGACACTTTAATAGGCGAGAAAACCCCAAACGTTCTTTGCCTCATGCCAGAATTGAACTCGCGTGAGTGCCTTTTTCCCGAAAGAAGCAGACATGCTCGAACCAACTGAGCAAATGAAGCACGATAACTTGCGAGAACAAAAGGTGTGAGTGGCGTGAGGACGCCATTTGGGTGCTCGAGAATAACGAAAAGAATTTTCATTGCTTGCACCGGAGGAGAAACACGAAAAGAACACCTCCAATTTTTCGTTTTCGAGGAAAAGGGTGTACGTGCTACTTACTGGCTCATGTATTAGGAATATAGCGAGAGCCCACAAACGGGTTTTGTTGATTCCGCCACTGAGATCAATGGATGGGTTGCAATATCCCAATCGTAGGTGAGTTGAGTATGTATTTCCCTTGAGCTGCCCGCGCCCGAAGTGGACGACTACCGCTTTGAGGTTGCTATTGATGATCGGCCCTTCAACGGAACAGTTATCCGCTTTCAGCCAACAGGTAGGACGCGTGGGTTCACGAAGAGTCACGCGTCAGCCACAGTCACATCATCCGCTTGCTCTCTGCCTCCATCTCGCCCGGGCTACCTCTCCTCCTGCTTCTTCAGCGTTCCCCTCCCTCGCTCCGTAACTTATGCCTCGTCCCAAGAGCGACAAGAAGAAGAAACAGCAGGAAAAACTAAGGCAGCAACAACAACGGCCTCAATCCACTGGCAAGAAGCCCGCCAAGTCCGAGTTGGAAACTCCGAGCCACGCCACGCAAGACTCACAAAGCTCACAAGCGACGAAACCTCCCATTTCACTTTCCCGTCTTCGCCAATTTACCATACTTGCTGCGTGTGGTGCGGTCAGCGACTTGTTCTCCGTCTCCGACTATCCTGCTGCTAGCGATGCGACTTGGGACCTAGTCACCTCTGAAGATGAAACTACGCGATCCTCTCTGCAGAAGAAAGGCTCTGGTTTTCTCATATATTCGCTCATGGAGGCAAACTTCGACTTGAACGACAACTTCGAGAACGGCATGGTAAAGGCAAAAGAAGAGGTGATACAGCTAGTTGATTCATCGTTCGTTGCTCACAACCTTGTGAAGATCATCGAGGAGTGCATTCTGAGCGAGGAAGTGATAACCGCAATTGTTGTGCGGATGCAAGGACACGAAGATGATCGCTATACTATCGAAAAATGCGGGGTCATCTGTAGATCCGCGTTCCACGTCCTCATTGGCGGTCTTTGGACGCAATACACCGCCAATCCTACGCCAGTCTCATCTTGGATTAGCGACGTATTCACACCGCTCCTAGTTGTCGCGAAACAGGTGGTGAAAGACAATCCGTACGTTTGTACGCTCAAGTATCTCCTCTCGTTTGATTTCTCACAGCTGCTTCTTACTTAGCACTACCTCTGCTTTACAGAAGCGCCCACGCGCAGGAATCACACAGGAACCCCTTCCACCGAACTCAGGTGCGTCGTGTTCGATGGTTAGCTTTCAAAATGGCTTTGATGCTTTACAGAACTTGCCGTCCTGCATCGACTCCGCAACTTCGACCTGGGAAGACCGCGGAGGGCCCGCCCCAATGTCCCGCCTATCGTATCAGCTCCCGGTGAGGATGACAGCGAGGGTGTCGATGATAGCGGGTCGGATATGATGGAGGTGGAGGCTGAACCGCCTTCTTCCCCGTCCAACTACGTTTGGGCACGTATCGTTTCACCCATAACGTGTTCATTCTCGTCTCACTCAACCTACTTCAGCCAAGACCAGGCCGGGGCAAAAGTCTCCCTTGGACGTCATTGCCCTTCGAAGATATGGTTTGTTTTCGCTATTCCCTCTTTCGATTTCTGAAGATTGTGGTTTTTCTCGCATATATCAGAGCTTGCCGCGTCGCGTTCCCGCCAACGAATAATTCGTCAAGAGGTATATGCGCTTCGGAGTTGGAAAAGCCTTGTGTTAATGGCGCTTCCTCAGTTCGATGACTTGATTGGCTTCTTCATTCGAGGGGACACTGTTTGCACTACACCAGTTCTGTCCATTCCCCAGCTGCACTTCATTTATCTCGCGTCTCATTGACATCCATACTATTCATTACATCCATACTGTTCGTTAAGCCCATACTATCATCGCATCCATATGTAATCATTGAAATGTACTACTCGAGCCAATATGACAAAAGAATTCAACTTTGCGTCTAACTTGACCGGAATTGTGACGGTTCGCCCGCGGTGACTCTTCCATCTGGCCCGCGGTTGATCTCACTATCGTCCCTGGCCTATGCACACGGGTCAAAACATGGTGTGCGGTTTTTGTTTTCAATTCAATTCGACGGCACGGTCTATACAATATTGTTTCTCATACCCTGGTTATGCAGGTTCCAGCGAGTATTAATTCATAAATACGTCTAAACGCTAAGAATCGATGAGCCATAGCTGCATGCCAATGAAAATAAGAGAGGCTTACAGTATCGACAACGTCGGATGGCAATTCACGATCACAGCTCGGGAAGAATCGTGGTTTCAATCAGAAAACCTGTTGACATGATACTGAAATTCATTCAGCAATCGTAGCACGAAGGAAAAAATACACACGACTCACTGAAGCCTGCGGTTGGTGCCAGCTGCGAATGTGTATGTCGAGCCCGTCGTCGATCAAAGCCTGCAATGTATCTGCTACAGCGGAATCCGGGATCACGTCTGGATCATATTTCTCGCGGTCGGCGTCGTAGACATCGTTTGGGCCGGGGATGTCTCTAATCAGTCTGAAAGATTCCAGCTTCTGCATGCTGCCTCGTTCGTACCAGCGGGAACGAAGCATTTGTGCGATTTGAGGATAGGGTATCGCTGGCTCGCAGACCGGAATGCGGAGAGATTGAAGATGAGGCAAAAATGCAGGATCAGTTGTGATTCGCAGAAAGAAGTTCACCAGCTCGTCGGGATTCGAAAAATAGACGGGGAAGATCAGATGCTGGAGTTGATTCATGGTTGGGTTGAAAAGCAGTCCATCATTCACGTTCACGTCTCCGGCGGATAGCGATAGTAGAACGCACTGGGACCGTTCAAGAAAGGGGACCAATGATTCCTCGGTTGCCATGACGTCGAGTGTGGCGAGAAGTGGAAGGGTGAGGTAGGGGAAGATATCTCTTGGCTGACTCTGGTGTGTGTATGAGAATTTGAGGGTGTGGGCGTGATACAGGGTGATTGGTGTGAGCTGATGATTATTTGGAGCTCTTGCTGGCTCGATTTCCACGGAAAGGACTTCCAGAAGCGGAGTTTGGTGGAGAATCCCGACACACCGGGACAGCGTCTGACGCTTGAGAGTGAGATGAGTGAGCTGCCGCCACGGAAGAGCGACAGAAGTTGGCGACACGTCGCACAACTCTACTTTGCGAAGTTCCGGGGCGATCGAAAATCCGGAAACAGGTAGAATTGGGAGTGCTTCTGACTTGCCTCTGAGTTTGAGTTCATATAGAACGGGAATGCGACCCTTGACGCTGTCAATAACGGGATGAAGCGAGGTGTCCAGATAGCCGGAAAAGGACCGCCACTGGGAAGAGTATTGACTCGCTGTGGGAAGGAGTAGCAGGGTATGGCGGCAGTCATTCGCGGGGGCAAGATCTAGATACAATGCATGACCACCCGCTCGCGACAGCCAACACTTGAGGAGCCTGTGCCAATCAGGAACTGAGGGATTTAACCATTCGCTGGAAAATGGCACCGCCACGCGACACCACATTGAGGGGGTAGTTAGCACAATGTTTCGCCAGGAGCTGCACACTTGCGACAAGAAGAGAGGGCCGCCGGATCTTGCATCGTTTAACAGAGTGAGATAACGAACATCATTCAAGTTCTCTCCTGCATCTTGTTTTCCACCGAGGCCGCTGAGGTGTTGTTTGAGGATCTCGGTTGTGATGTCGACAGGGAGGGTGAGAATGGGATAAACGACAGAGTCCAGCGCCGCTGTGATTGGGTTGCGCGCTATCTCGAGCTGCGCGACTCGAGATTCAAGCTGCTCAATTTCAATATCAATTTCGGCGAGGCGGGCCCGCAGCGCGGCTCGAGAGAGACTAGAACCGATATCCAGATCCGCAGTAGTCATGGGTGAGGGAGTGGTTGGAGGGCAAGCCGCAAAGTGACTGTGACCAACGCGTGACATCTCGCATCATCAATATTGACCCCAAAACGGCAGTCTCCAAAAGAAAACCATCGGTGCAAATTTAAACCATGTAGCAAATTCTGATGTTGTTCCAGATCTGTCATCCGCAATCCTATAATTTACACGCAACAGCGCAGATATTTTTTTAGATATACATGACCCCTTCCCACTCAATCCTCCTCATCGTCCTCACCTTCCTTCTTCTTCCCCTCCACCTCCTTCCCATCCTTGCCCCAGCTCATCCTCTTTTTCGTCCTCAACATCCAACTCCAGTGCCCCCACGGATCGCTCAAAAGTTTCTGCATCTCCATCACATCCGGATCCGTCGGCCCAACACTCGGCAACCCATATTCTACCGCAAGATTCGCGTACTTCGTCGCCACCCACGGCTCTCCGACACCATTCCACTCGATAGCGGCGTATGTGTACGCGCTGTAGAGGCTCGCAATCAGGCGCTCCTGCTCGTGCAGGCTCACCATGAGATCGCCCATCTGCGGCGTCGCTCGTGATTTCGTCGTGTAGTCCTCAAACTCATCGCGGAGCTCGTTGATTTGGCGAACCCGCGCGTCTGAAGCGTTGCGAATGTGTGCCTCTGAGGAGCAGAGGGAGCAGGAGCAGTCAAAGCCCCAGTTCTTGACGCGGTCGGCGCGGGCTTTGTGGGTTTCGACCGGACTAACAGGTTCGCGTCAGACAGAGCGATTCATGCAGAGCGATTCACGCAGAGCGATTCATGGAGAGAGAGAAAGTTCAAACGCACTCAATGTACGATATTGTGATTTCCTCGCCCTGCGCGATCGGCTTTATGGCGTGGATATGGTGGGTGAAGGTCTTGTAGTCGAAATAATACTCCGCGTTCGGACGGCAGTCATGATTTAACCTCGAGACTTGACACTGAATGTCAGACAAAACTTATCGCCTAGCATTAGGGAGTTAATATATAACGCACTCTCGGGGAACACAGCTTGCATAGCGTGCGGAGAATCA